ACAAATAAATTTTGTAATATAAAATTCAATAAAAGTCCAAATTTATATACGATTGTCAAGAAAGATACAATTCATTATGATATACAAGTTTACTTATAACACCAAAGTCAATTTAATTAATAAAAAAAATTTTTTTCTTATAACGCTAATATATGTATTATTATTCTGATTTTGGTAAAGTCGGTTATTTTTGCATAAAATTATACAAGTTTTACATAATTTTTAGATTAAGCTATGTGAGTTTCTTTTAAACTGAAAAAAACTAAGATTATTTTTTGAAATACAGTTTCTAACATTACGTACGTATATTGATTGATAAAGATAGTAGATAATCTTTTTTGTCTTTTTTTATTAATAGGAATTATAAGCTGCGTCATGTTTAGGTTATTGATCTGAAATATTAATATACAATCTGTTATACTGTCATTATAGCACTTGGAAGATTGGAAACACATTTGGAAGGAAATTTAAATTTCTAAAATAGAAGTTTCCAATAAAATGATTATCAAACAAAATCATTTCCTTTTATGTATATGTCAAATATTTTACAACGGATCTGCGTAAATTAGCTTGTATTTGTTACTTGTTTATGAATAAATTCGATTTAAAGATTTAAAGATTTAATGTTAAAAATAATTTAGTCGTCAGATTGCAACTGTTAGTTTACAATAAAATTCGAAATAAAATAATCTTAATGGCATGCTTATGATAGTTAAAAGTATTTATGTTCATTATAATATTTCTTTTCCAAAAATGTAATTCTTTTTAGTTAACATTACTAATTTAATTTTAATTAATTTTTTTATGCTTTTTTAAACTTGTCGAATATGAAAGAATTCGATATATATATTAACTTGCAATTTAATCTTCTAGACATTTTTTCATTTATTAAAGTCTTGATAACAATAGCTTTGAAAATGGAAACAGAGTGTTTGTATATGCTAAAAATCATACGTAAATTACAAGATCCTGTGTCTCAATATGTATTAGGATGCTTACCAGCTATAGCAACAATTGGGATCGCACCATGGGTTGATTTCATGGCAAAGTTAATATAGTTAATTCGATATTTAGGTTATCCATTCACAGGATTATTTTACACCTGCTACGTAAAGAGTGATAAGAAATCATTGTGCATTTATTGGCTCTCTTCTGATCATTTTATTAGAAGTGATAATGATAACTTGATAACAGAAATCCCATACAGACCTTTCGAAATATATATTATGAACATTAAATAATTAATACTTATGAAAGCATGTGTCACCAAGGCATCCGTGCTAGAGAGGTTATCGTCGTTAGCATCATTATACTATATATTAATCGGTATAGTTTCTGGAATATCCAGGGTGGTTAGACCGACTATCTGTGATGAGGATTGGCTATGTATACCATTAGCATTATCTTGAACATTACCTGCAATCTATAGGAAAACAATTTAAAATAATCTAGTTGCTTTCGATCTTAATAACATATTAGAAAACCATCAAATAACCGTAAACAAACTCACCAAACATAATAAGAATGACCATTATGCCTGTATCACTTTCACTGCTTTAGTGTCAATAGTAGTACCTTGGATAACAGTGCTCTTAGTCTACTTCACACCTCCAATCAGATTTTATTGTCGTAGTAAATATCTCTCAGTTTTGTGTTCAATATGGTCATTCAACAGTATCTTGACACTTTTGAGTCACTTGAAAGGAGAAAAAAGCGTAAATAGAAATGGTTTATTTCATGCCATTTTCTTCATTTGTAGTGTTATAATAGCATGTCTTTTATTCATTCTAAGCTTGCTAAGCAATCAGAATACATGGTGGGTAGACCTATTCGGTAATGCTTGTGATATTTCAAGCGCATGCCAAGTAGCCTATTGAAATAATTACTTAAAAAAAAATAACAATGAAAGACAGGCAAATTTCTTCCTTATTTTATCACTCGTCATTTCACTTAATTACTTAGATATTTCTAGAATAATGATTAAGCTTTGTATGTCAGAATTTGATAAGAGAAATAATATACTGAAGAAATTTAAGCTCAAATCACTTTCAAAATGTCTTTTTATTAGGAAAGTATTGTAGATTATATATATGCTGTATTTAAATTTAATATATTATTTTCATGGCATGGTTAATACTAAGATTCAAAAGAAAGTATTGACATTTTTTTTCTTTCAGTTCAAAATAAATTAGAGATAACGGATCATGTGCTACACAAATGAAAAAATCTAGTTTAGTTATTCGTCATATGATAATAAGCATTTTTTTCTCATTTTTATTCAATAAATTAAAAGAACTTTTTAAATAGATAATTTATTTATTTATAATGACTTTAGACCGTCTTTATATTTCGTAGCTGGTGAGATTTTTATCTAAGAAACGTTTTGGAATGTTATAAGATATTCTAGAATACATATAGATAACATAAAAATTGGAGGTTATATAACATTCTCAAATATTTGAAACCCGATTTTGCAAATTTTTTTTTTGAATTAATAGTTTGCCAAGTTATTAACTATTTGTTTATAAAGATCGTATTGTTACGATTGAATATAATTCCAAAGCATCATTCAATTGGAATAATAAATTATCATTCTAAAAATACAGCAAAAGAATCGTTTGATTAGAATGATAAAGTATCATTTAATTAGAATAATAAATTATTATTCTAAAAAATGGTAAAAGAATTATTCAATTAAAATGAAAAAATTATCGTTCCAAATGAACAATAAAAGAATCATTTAATTAAAGTGATAAAATTATCATTCCAAATGAATGATAAAAGCATCATATGATTGGAATGGCCTATAAAAAAAGAATCTCTGGAATTAAACAGGTAAATGTATTAAAATAATAATGTACAAATTCTGAACATTTCTAT